CAAAGTGTGTCGGGAAATTTTGATATTTAACACATTTTTCCTGTGGCGTCCATTTACGCAACACGTCTCGCATATTTTTAGCTACTCCAACTTTAGAAGCGGATATCTAGACAACCAATCAGAATATCGAAAAAGCCCGACACACTTTCGTTGACTGATGCCTTGTGCATAAGACTGTGCAGCCATTTTGCTCGTACTGTGGAATCTGATACCCGATAAATTCAATAGAAGAAGCCTCGGTCGTTTCACACCTTACTGCCTCCTGACACTTCCTAAAAGAAAACATTGCTGAAATTGTATTTTTTTCGTAAAGTACATTTATTAAGCTTTCTTACGATATATAGTTTGTTGGGGTTTTATTGAAACTGGCGCGCGTACGATTTTTTTCCTGAAGGGCACCTACGAAGGTGGGAAGTAACCTTAAAGTGGGTGCCTGGAAATAATTCTAATAGCTCACTCTTAATTACTTGGTCTTCCTTGATTACCAATATACCTCACTGCGCTTTGCTAATTTGTTTTCTTTCAGTTTTGATCAGTACAGTGGTCTTGCTTTCTTGCAAGCTCACCTCTCCCCAGTCTTACAGAACATTTTCACTCACATGGCCAGCATCCATGAAAATTTATTGGAACAAGAGAAAGTGTTTATATAAGAAAATAATTCAGTTCCCACATGATTGGCTCAGGACACCAATATGGCCACTGTTTCAACCTTTTGGGACACCAATATGACTGCCGTGATGCCATGCATGTGAATACACTCTATAATTAAATTTACACATGGTTTTACATGAGCACAATAACCTTTGGATGATAAATACCGGTAATTATTGTACACGTTGATCTTTTGAATAAAGAGGCCAAAGAGGCTATCAAGGACCAATATTTGTCAGTCTGTGTGTAAAGTTTGACAAATGAGGTATATCAACCTGATCAATTTGGACCAACCTTGGAAAGCCCAGTTCAAATGTCGCACTCTTTTGGTGCTGAACTCAATTGATCAGACAAGTAACTTATAAGTTCTGATGTTTGTACCACAACAAGTAATAACTAACTACTTGACAAGATCTAAAGAGTGTTACGAGAAATGGTCAGAAATGGCACAAAAAAATCGCAAGAGTCATACTAGCCTTGTCCTGTCGCTGTCGGAAAAAAAGTGAAAAGATGTTGCTTTATCAATATTAAAAATTGATTGTCACTGTTGTAAATTGAACCCTTCTTCTGTCAGTTCTTGGCAGTTGTTGGAGCTTTGGAAAAAGATTGTTGCCACATTTTGGAGCACTACAAAGTCATCTGTTTCCAAGGCCTCTAAAAAGTACTCACTTTTTGAAATCTCTAACTTTTGTACCTGATGCACACATTTTTGTGTACACTAGGCCAAGAATACTTCTGTTTCCAGATGCTCCCCTTTAGTTTCAAAAAATATGAAATTACTGTCCTGGTACAAAATCCAATCAGTATATGGTAACAGGATAGTGTAATAGGCTGTGTTGATTATTCACGCAAGAAGACCATTTTGAGCTATTCTGTATTTCTTTCAAAGGGGGGTCATTCTTACAAGACCCTATTTTAAGAAAAGGTTCAATTTGAGGAACAGCTCTGGACGAAAACATATTTACTCCTCCTTTGTTTGCTCCCTATTTTCACCACAATATATTCCCGGCGTTGAAATCACAAGAAGAAAGGGAAAATAAACAAAAGAAGTTTGCAAGAAGGAGTTACGACAAATTAGATTATAGCTTTCCTATGTATTCCAATTAAACTACGTTTCATTCCATTACAGATTGCTTCATTGAGGAAACGATTTACACAAGAGCAACGCGCTATGTCAACCATGGAACGTTTCTGCAAAAGGTGTTTGTTCTTTCAGTTTCAATTGCTGCGATAAATGATCGAACTTTCGATTCAATCAAGTGTGACGGAGACGTGACGAACAAGCCACAACGAACAACAAAAGCTGCAACCGAAGCTAGAAAGTGTCAATTTCCAAGTTCTAAAAACGTCCATTAAAGCGAACCTCGAACGCTGAACTGGACGCGAGTTACGAGAAAATTCAAACGCGGTCACAAACTGAACATTGTCAAACAATATTAGAGTCGTATTAACATTAATATGCAAAAACATTAGTCTTTGGAATTCCGTTTCACGTGGTTGGAACGCGAAAATGGCTTCCTATCAGAGCCACCAAAAGTTCAAGATCAAAGATGACAGTCGCGCAGAAAGACGTTGATCGCAATACTTCCTAAATGTATTACTAGATGAGCAAGCTTAGCTAAACCCATATTCACACAAAGCTAACATTTACTACCTTAAGCATATGTACACAGACTTCTACACGAATCGAAGGAGCTTACTTTAAAAAAAATCGATCATGGTTGCTTTGTATACATAACCCCATAGACTGCGTAAAAAGGAAACCTAGAAAGGAAGTCGATTGAAACATGCATTAAATGGGAAACTGTGACTGGGAGACTTTGCAACGGAAAGATTTCGGATTTAGACGAGAAGCGAGCGATGTACTCTTCAGATATACAGAGCGAGCAAGCTCATTCATAAGTAATCTAGTTTGCTGAAACACTAAGTGTTTACAAGTCTATACTCACAAATTCACGATAAATGGATGCTCAATCTTGGTTAGAATATTCTTCTCGTTCTGTACATGTTCAACTTGTTTAAGTCTGATTACTTCTCTGATATTCATTATCTTCAAGGCATGGTATTCACCGGACCTCTGATCGCGGCAGAGTAACACTCGTCCAAAAGTGCCCGTACCTGTGTGCAAAAGGACTCCGTCACTTCTCTAATACCTCCATAAAGCGCAACACTAACGACCTCATTAGAGATGAACTATTCTTAGAACTGTAAATAAAGTCGCCAAATTCACTTTTCAGAGACAATTCATCTTTCTTTGCTTACCTAGAGTTGTTGTCAGGTCGAAATCAAGCAGTGTCGTTCGCTTGTCTTTCTTCTTGGAAGCTGCAGTGCTACTTGCCATATGTAATAAATTACGACAAACGACGCTAAAAATCACAACCTTCTATATGCTGCTCGTGGATAACACCACACATTGATCCTTCCGGTAATCTATTCCTCTGCTGGAAGATTTTTCTCAACTAGGAGGCAAAAACCGCGGATATAAACGGACATATTGAGACGTGTGTGTTGAGACGCGCTTTTGGAAGGCCTGGTTGTTCGTCTGTAATGGAATGCCGGTCAGAGAGGGCGCGCTCAACCGCGAAGAAATTACAAGGATAAACAAATCAAGCGTGAATTGTTTACTCGCAACTTGCCTTGTTTATTGAGCTAGGTTGATGGACAGCTTGTGTGTGCGTGCAGGGTCTACAGTTGAATTTTTTTAAATTGAACAAGAAAAAAAAAATTGTCACAAGAATGAAAGAGATAAACATTATCCTCGACTATACAGAAACTTCAGTTTGATGTAAAACCATCAGTGGTCCCTGAAACGCTTATCTGACAGATGAATAGATCGAACGAAGGATGACGTTGGCGAAACTATTTTATTGTTTTCTAACTTTGAAGGCATGATAAAATCACTGCTATAACAAAACGAGGTTTGGGGGCTTTCTAGAAGAACCCAACAACTGATTAATACTAAAAATCGAAGTAATATAAGTTAAGTTACCTGATAAATAGAGTCCAGGTCAGTGTGCCCCACAACAAACAGAAGTTGAGTATAGCGTCTGATCCTAACTTTCTTTTTGAGAAGTTTTTTTTACCTGCCACAATTCTCACTTCCGGTCGTATGATGACGTCACTAATGAGAGTTTCCGCTAAGAATCCCACGATCGTGACGCGCGGGCTTTGAATCTGAACGCCATCACGAATGAGGCAAAACAATAATTTTCAAAAAAATAATAATAATCATAATAACCTCGTTAAATGCAATTGCAAGGGGAAGAAGTGACGAGCAGCATAGACGTCACACGAATTTCTAGATCTGCTTTCTCGGCCGGCTAAAAACGGACCCGATCACAAATTTGTACATTCGTAAACAAAGCAAGGTGCTTGAAAATGTAAACTTTATCGATAATAACTTCCTACTCACCTACCACGCTTATAAAGCCTTGCTTCGTCAAAGAACAGCTAAGTTAATATCAAAGCCGATCCATTCCGTTTGATCACGTTCAAATATTCAGAAATATCTCAAGTAAAAAAGAAAAAAAAAATTGTCTCCTAGTGGACCGGAGATCAAGAGCGGAGATCAAGAGCGGAGATCAAGTGCTCTGAATTCTCGTAGTTAAGACCACGACCACAGTTATGATTCAATTTAACTCGGCAAGTAGCTGGCCAAAATCATGCTAAAATTAAACGTAAAGTGTTTATCTTTTGTTTTACGGTGACCAGTAGCCATCTCGATATGAGTATATTTTTTTAAAGCCAAAATATTACTGTCGATTTAGTTTGGGTCGCAGTATCACGAAATCCCGACTTACAACACGAGATCTCGACTTACAACCCGAGATCTCGACTTATAACGCGAGATCTCGACTTATAACACGAGATCTCGATTTATAACGCGAGATCTCGACTTAGTAGCACGAGATCTCGACTTATGATGTGAGATCTCCTGTTAACAACGCGAGATCTTGACTTAAACTGTGAGATCTCGAGTTAATAACGCGAGATCTCTACTTATAATGGCGTAATAATACAAAATGAAGTAACCAACATGTTCAAATTACATGCGGATAACAGCGGAAACCACACAAACCTATGACCTCCAGCGGCTCTACTCTGGTGAAATGTTCTCCTAAAAACACAGGATTATTGCTTACCGAAATAGTCAAAGACCCCCCCCCCCCCCCCCCCCCCCNACTATACAAAAGGGGCAGATCGTTAAAGATATATTCTGAGTTAGAACAAAACTTTCAAAGCAGTTTCCATTGAAATTATTTCTGGATGGAATGTAGCCCAAGAATGAAGGAGTAATTTCTATATAAGTCTATTGTGGACTTATTGGTCGCTTATTTATGTGTACTGGATATATTTAACATCACAAAGACAACCCCTACCTTTTAATCAAACATATCAGAGGGCGTTTAAACCCCGACCAGGAATGGCCTTATGTCTCGATTGATCTTTTATTCTTGAGAAAATAAAATATCAGTATCAAGATTCCGAACACACCCACACCGACGTGGTCTTCTGACCAAAGGACCGAAATAAAGTCCTTGTGTTCAGAAATAGTTCTTATCTTCCGCCTTAATACCGCGGTGGTGCTAATTTGAAAAGAACTGGAAAGATATCATTGTTATCTAGTGGGAAACCACACCGCCTACTACTCAAATTATCACTTAGATAAAAGCAGCGACCGACATCTGCACGACACTAAACGAAAATATATTAACTCATTTTCATTCGGTAAAATTAAAGGCCCTTGCCCTGTTTCAGGCCTAACTTGATATTTTCCCAGCCGTTTCGGACTGGATCGAACTCGTTGGGCACTCTCTTCATATATTAGACTAAAACGTACCGAAAAGCGTGGAAAATGGAAGTGTCCCAGACCATGCTTAATCCCCCTGTCCATGCGGCATTAGAAAAAAAGAATTAAAAAAAAAAAAAGAAAAGAAAAGACAGATGTAAATACAGATTACATAAGTACGCTGTTCATAAAAGATCCAAATAATATTAACATGCAGAAGGCCATACAGCAGCGTGGGAAGCTGACAAGATTTCGCGCGCGCGCGCGCGCGTGCGCGAGTGTTTTGTTTTCGATATTCGCCGCCCTCCCTACGCGAGCTAACCATGTAGCGAGGAATCAAACTGTTTCATTTGTGTGTTCTAGTGGATAGAACACACGAATGCACCTCACAGACTATGGAATTCATACAGTATCCATTTGCACCAATTCCGGGGCACAAACAATTTCCGTGTGCAACAAAGTCCGCGCAAACTTAGCTAGCAGTTTCAGAGATTCCTTTACTGAAGTGACAGCAAACCACTCTCTGTCCAAGTCGTCTTGTGACCAATTTCTTAAAATATGTTATATCCTGATTTATTTCTTTCTTTTCTTGTGTTACTCCTGGGAGAGAGAGAGTCTTCAATTTCTGAGTACCGTCACTGCTTTCCTCCATTGTAGCTGCTAAAATCTGATCTTACTTAGTAGGTAGAAGGACCAGATTCGCTCTACGAATGAAATTAGGAACTACTATAATTCTGATTTATGTCCTGGTATTGAAACAACAACGTTTGTGCGAAAAGCAACGGCGTAACTGACTGAAACTGCTGGGTCGCTTCAGTGACGTCATCAGTTTTCTGTCAACAGCGTAAAACATGGAAGAAACCTTTGAAACATACATGCAGGCACAGTATATATTTATAGGAAAATTATGAATCCAAATCGTGTTTTGTGACTTGAATTGTAAATGAAAACTGAAACACGAGGAAATATGAAACGTGGCAATTCTGTATCAATGACACATTCTATAAATTTGATACTTGGCTGTGTAAAAGAAGACTCCATGAACAGTCGAAAGCGGAAGGTTATCCCATGGTTCGAAAGTGTAATAATTTTGTCGTCATTGTTATTTTGAAGTCGATCCCCTTTGAGCTAATGCAGACTAAAAATTTGAATTTCATTCTGATCTGAAGTGGTGAGTATGAATTTTTTTATCGTTTTAGTAATAATGGCCTTTTTATATCGCTTATTGATACGTGGATATGATCACATGCGCTTTACAAAATTATTTATAAAATTATTCACAAATAAGAAATTAAAATGAAAATCATAATCCTAATTCTAACTTATACTAATTCCATACCATCACAAAGAGATAGGAAAATGCTCAAGAGTTAAACACGTTGAATTACTTAATTTAGACATTGTAATACATGTTTGCTTGCATCTTTATTATATTGAAGGAAATTCTTGTTTACTTGACGAAGACTGTTAAAAGGTGGATTTAATCTATCGATTTAGACGTCTAATTGAAAGGTAAGTGAATAATGTTTTCAGACCTATTATACAGTTGCAAAACATCAGGAAATTCTGTACACTTTTGAGCTATTTGAGCTGCACGGTCAATCTGAGGGGATGAAATAACTTAATTGCTTTTGGATTGGGATTAAGACCTCTTATAGAGCTGCAAAACATCAGTAAATTCTATAAACTTTTGAGCTGTTTAAGCTGCACGGTCAATCTGAACGGATGAAATAACTTAATTGCTCTTAGATTGGGATGCTAGGCGTGGTAATCGGCGTATACAATACCTGTTAAAAGTGCTCGGGTCTTAGTAAATATCCGCTGATAACCGGACCTCACTTTCCTGAATGAGGAGAAGATCAAGGTACTTACGTTGATCTTCACTTGCGTCAGTGAAAATAATGCCAATCAAACGTTATGCACACAGTACGGAAGAGATGTTTTAAAATTACCAAAACAATTGGAAACTCTGCACCTCGATTCTTCTGTATTCGAGCTAACCGTACCACTGAATTTTGTTTCCAGAAGCATTTGTAAGGAAGGTGATTAACCTACAGTTCATATAAGACGTGCTGATGCCAACTGTTCGGCGCAGGAACTAGAAATATTGTAGCATGGTATTAGAAATTAGTACATTGCCACAACTAAACTTAAGAATAGATGAATGAATTAATCGGTACCGGGTTTTGTCGAAAAAACTGTCTGTTTTTAAATTTATGCTGCTCCTTCTAATTTCTTTCTGTACAGCGACGGAGAAGCGACGGAGAGTACAGTCGTAACTTCATTCGCGCTTAGAAGAGTCAAAGAACTCTAGACATACTCCATTGGTGAGTGTGTAACTGGCCCGTAACCGGTTGCTTTTTCTCGAAATAATTTATCTTGATTAGGAGGGAATAGAAGATGACGGCTATACTCAAGATAATTGGGAACAATGTCCAAAAAGACTGACATACTCTTTGAATTCTAAAGATTCAATTTTTAAGGTAAAGGAATCGTATAACTGCCAATCGCAATGGCAGCTTTGTCCATCATAGTAAAGCCAAAATTGTGGCTCGGAAGTACGACAGGTCAGCTATGGACTGAAGGAAATGCTACATGCTTAGCTTTAGTTTATCGAAATTCACCGGATACCGTCTGTAACTGCAGTAGGCGAATATGAAAAGGCCATAGAACATATCGAGAAATCACTTGCAATCCACAAAGAAATTGGTGACAGACAGGGAGAAGCCTCTTGTTATGGAAACCTGGGAAGTGTGTATGGATCAGTAGGAGAATATGAGAAAAGCAGAGAACATATCGAGAAATCACTTGCAATCCACAAAGAAATTGGTGACAGACAGGGAGAAGCCTCCTGTTTTGGAAACTGGGAAGTGTGTATGGATCAGTTGGAGAATATGAGAAAAGCGGAGAACATGACGAGAAATCACTTGCGATTCACCAAGAAATTGGTAACAGAATGGGAATAGGTCTTTGTTACCAAAAACTCGGAGGAGTACTTTGTAATCTTCGTAAATATGCAGAGGCTAACAAGAATTATGAGAAGGCACTTGCCGTCACAACAGACATTGGAGCCAGAGAAGGGGAAGCGGCCTTTTACGGAATCCAAGGGAGTATTCTTGTATCAACTGGTGACGTTGCTAAAGCTAAAGAATATTTTGAGAGAGCGCTTTTGATCAACCACGAGATTGGGTGTAGGGCAGGAGAGGCAGAAATTAACTTGAATTTAAATTAATTAGTAATTAACGATTTAGCCTTTTGATCAAAATTACACTTGCCTAATGGCTCGATCCTGCAACTTTGAGAGAGTTTACGAATATAACTCCCAGTGTAAATATTTAATTGCACTCGCATTCATACGATTAAAAATACCTAATCATCTAATCACCTAATCAGTCACGGAATTGACTCATTCAAGCCGCGTTTAAACTACTACCTGTGCTCACGGTGAAAAAACGTGAGAAAACTGTGAAACCGTATTTACCAATCATTTCAAATAAAAAAGAAATCAAATGGCAGACCGTCACAGCTGACAGCTGTTCTGACAACCTCTGAGACTAACGTGACACATCAAAGTTAGTTTTCAAAATATTTCCCTTTGTACAGACAAAACGACTTCGCTGGTTGCGTAGAGAGTGGAATGCATCAGGTGATACGCTTGACACCATGACGAACCGTATAATTTTAGTTTTGTTTTCCAGATGAAATACAAATCTTGTAGGATAAGCTAGGAAACTCTCGATCCACTGATGCAATTTTGCCTAACAGATGAAGAATAAAAGACTTATCGAGAAATGCATGATAACATTTGAGTTTGAGTCCCATTGGGTACGTAGATTGTTTGTTGACGTTGACTTGAACTAGGAATGAAAACTGAAACACACGCATTAGAAAGTGAGATCATGTGAAGACAAGTCTAGCAATGACAAACATTTTTTTTTTCAACGTGGAATTGAATTGTGCGTTAAATTTGATTTCGGGCGACAAAGTTTAGATTTGTACTTTAATCACCGCAATCAAACTCGGAATCATCAGAAGTCGTCGTTTTTCCTACGATGTCAAGGCTCTTTCGGTCTCGCCATGGTATTTTTCCTTGACTACGTGTCGCAAAAATAAGAAAAAGATGCGATTAGGTATATGTAGTGAAAATAGTTACGTTTCTTTCCACCCACCCTCTCACCCTGGGTGGTTCAAATTGCATTGTTATCATGAGGGTGGGAGAGAGAGGTCTATGGACATATCATTTGTTTTTGTTTCTTGCCGTGAACTCCATAATCTACAAACTTCTGATTCGATACAAACTTGCTTTATATTTGACTTCTCCCTAAATTGTTTGTTTTTTTTTTTTTGCCGACGAAAAGGGTGACCGAAACTAACATACATATCGAAAGTGAACCTCATGCCCGCACCACTAGTCGTCATATCAAGTACAGTGCTTCCTCGATGCTTTCTTGGTTGTTGTGTTACTTACAGGCAGGTAATTTGTAACGCGCCCCGAGAAGGCTTGGCAAAACGCAGACCATTACACTCAAGTAGATTCCACTCGATCGAGAAAAGTTGACAACCGCCATCTTGTTCATCTTGTTACGTCACACTGCTGTTGTTATTTCACATCTTTATAAGCGCAAGTACTCTCGACTGATAGCTATATTTATTACACGACTAAGTTTATAGTTCCAATCACAGAAAATCAACCAATTAGATTACTCCATTGCCGGCCAAATATTCTTTAAGTGTTGGACCGGGCACTATTCGGAATGATCCATCTCGATCACTCTCTCTCGGGAAATATGAGTAAAGGCTGGGTTCCGCGGCTTCCTCGGATTCCTCGTTTTCCCCGGGTTTCATAATTTCTACGGTTCCTCGATTTGCAGCTCCTCGGATACTCCAGCAAATTTGCATTTCGAAAAGTAGATAGGCTCACCAGCATGTGTTATCTGAAACTGACAGCAATAAGGGGAAAAAACGACTATTTGTGCAATGTTGTTTTGGTTTCATGGCTAAATTTAAAATTGACACACCTGGGAAGTCGTCAACACACTCCCCTTCGCGTCGCTCAGATTGCATCGATCGATTCGCGCTCTGCTATCAAGCCCGAACAAACCATAAACTAAACAGAAGTCTCTAAGTTATCTTTTGAACAAATTAAAAGCAAGTTGATAAGAACTTGAGAATTACCTACGACGCACACAAATTTAAAACAGCTTTGATTGCCCAAGGTCCGTCCACACTACGCCGGAGAAATTTGAAAACGCAGCTTTATTTCTACGGTTAAGGCTACCGTCCTAACTAATCGAAAATCGGAACTTTCCGAAAACGTTCTTCAAACCGGAGGAATTTGTATCTCGCGTGGACGGAAAACATTTTGAAAACGGAGCTTTTCGTGAACGATGACGTCACGACAATTGTGCGATTCTCTGCCCCAGTTTTCCTCAAACACAAATACAAAATGACAAGCGATTGTTCGTTGGATTTTAAATTTCTCTGGCGTAGTGTGGGCGGAAAACATTTCATGCGTTTTGAGAGTGAAACCTCCGTTTTCAAATTTATCCGGCGTAGAGTGTACGGGGCCCGAGCAAGAACAATACTTGTTATACCCCCCAACTCAAAGACGTTTTCCGATTGGAGGAGAACGTGCCACGTGTCGTTGGTCAAATCTCGCCAACTCCCTGGGGCGAAAAAAACTCACTAACTCCCTAGGGAAACAACAACTCTCGACTCGCACGTGATCAGGTCGTGCTCCTTGAGTGTGTGTGCCAGCCGGCGTCAAGGAAACGATTTTTCGCAGTTTTGTTTTCTATTTTTGAGTCGGGAGGTATAACAAAACACGTAATAACTGGCTCCCCGGGAAACAGCGAGTTTTGTTTCCCCTCGACATTGAGGGTCTCGGGGAAACAAAATTTACTGTTTCCCTTGGAGCCAGTCAGTAAGTGCTTACTGTAACGACCTACACGGGGGATTATACGACTGACCGTGTGATTGCATTTTCCCGCGCGACTTTTTTCATGTGCGCAATTCTGACCTGTATCTATGGTTATAAATGGCATTCTGGACGACTAAGAAAGACAAGTGGCCAGTGCCAAGCGCGGTGGTATGCACAAGAAAATGACGAATTCACGATAGTTTCGGTACAGAAATTTCACCCTGATTGCTCTGAATAAGTTTATGACAAAGCAATTGTACAGCTCACTGAGCAAACACAGTCACGAGTAATGTAAGAAACCACTTTATTTTCAACCGTCAAAAGTTAGATGTGTATCTAACTTATTTGATAATTACAAGACCGGATATTAGCAGGCGAGAATTTAATATCGGAACTTCACCTAATGTAAATACGCCACTGGCGATGACAATCGCGTGGACGACTTACCAATCGTTACTCCCGGGGGGAGAGAACTCTCATATATAAAGGACGTTGGTGCTCATCGGTAATTTTGAAAAGAACCTCTAAGAGCTACCAAGACCCTGTTTCGTGGGCGTGGCTTGAAAATTTTTTTAACCCTTAAGAGGTACCAATTCTAAAACAATACATTATCTCCTGTCATATTTTTTCGGCTCAATACCCTAAAAGTTACCGCAAAAGCTCCTGCTGTGGACCTGTTGAGGCTGACCACTCTAAGAGATATCAAAACCGCTTTTTCACCCCTAAAAGCCACGACGAGCACCCCCCGTCCTTTTTGAATGGAAGCCCCCCCGGGCCATTACTACAACTAAGAACGTATTGAACCGGCGTTCAATGAAGTTAGAATGAATTCAGCAAACCCGTGAAAAAAAAAGTTCACTGATTAACGAATTCTTTATACCAGAGCGCGCTCTCATTGGCCGTGTAGTTGCTTTGTCTGAGACCGTGTAACAAAAATCAAAATGGTGTACAACAGACCTGATATTAACACTAGAGAAAGTTTCACAGCGACACGAACGTCTACGTCAATATTCTATATGTTTAATCTCATGCTACCAACGAGTTCCAGGTCGATGTTGCATTAGCCTTGGTTTCTTGAGATATTATCACTCACTTTGTTTAACAGTACTTCAATACCCGGCCCTTAAAATAGTAGTTCTCTTGAAATTCCAACAACCGTTGTAAAGTTGAAGGAATGATGCCACTTTATTTTAGGCGGTATTTTTATGCAGATTTTACAGACGTTTTAAGACCTCTGTATGTGATGATAAGCTATGGGCTCAAATTAATAATTATATATATAAAAAAGAGAGAGGGAGAAAAAAAAAGAGAGAGACACAATTCGCCCAAAATGGTCCATTCCAATCCCTTAACTTGACATGGCTGTTAGAAAATCCAAGCTTTAACAGGTTCCGCATCACTTTAGTACATGAGGGTAGGCCAGCGCTGAAGCTCTGTAAGTCTCCGGGAGCTGAAAGTACTGTAAAAAAAAAGAACGCAGCGTCAAGATTTGTAATGGACACTGCATGTTTTGGTTCATTCCAGTTCCCAGGAGGCAGCCTGTTCCAGGCTCTCGGTCAATGGGGACCATCAAAAATGCGGCCGGGCGACGAGCGTGGTCTGGTAGAGAAAGTCCCCAGTGACCGAGAGCCTGGAACAGGCTACCAGGAGGAAGCATCTTGGCCGAATAATGGGGTAGAAGAGCGGGGGGGGG